GTGGTTGCTTTAGTACATATGAAAACTTCGGTTTTTAATGTGGCAACACCTTTGCTTTCTAAAGTGTTTTGTGCCTCACTGTGTTCTACTATAGATTTGAAGTATACAGTATTGTGGCCATGCACTGATATAAAAACACCAAGTTAAATGCTCAAAGATGAGCGAATTTCGTAAAAAATTACAAAATTGCGAACATTCTCCTTTAACAGGATAATTAAGTACTAAAATAAAGAGAAAACTGTTGACATAGCTTTCAAATCCATATTTAAATATGAAAATGCAAATATTTCATAGATGGAAATTTTAGTTATTGTCAGTGCGAAAAACCTCGCTTATAGACCGTGATACTTTGAAAATAAACATATACTGCTTTTCAAAAAGTCCCCCCTACTCATTTTCTGAGCGGATCATATTACCAAGCTGAAATCGCGATATTGGAATTGATACAATGAGTAGTATATCTTAAAGGCAGTTCAACATTTAAAGATGGTGGCTGGGCGCCAATTTGGAATACTTATTTAAATCAAACGGGTGGTCACGTACCATGAGCTCGCATCCCATTTAAAAGGCACCAGCCGCCATCTTGGAATCTTCAATTGTTAGTTTCACGTTAAGATATAGTATTTATATGCAAATTTTATCTTCCTGAATTTTAGCTTGCTAACTTGACCCGTGCAAAAAATCAGCTGGGGGGGGGGGGGGGGGGGTCTGAAAAGCACTGCATATAAACGCGTGAAAAATACGGATTCTAGATTCTGAGTGAAATCGTTCTTTAATTATTTAGATTGTTAAGTATCTATATACGATTTAATGATGATCTAGAATAAGATTTCATAGAAGGTATACTTGTGGGGTCACATGACGAAGGAAAAAGTAATGTAGTTATGCTCCTGATATTGTTACCCTTTGGTATAGGTATGCTTTTTTATCCTAATGGAATCAGGTAGTAGAAAAACGTATGGCTCGGGTTAGCTTTTCTATGCCTTCTGCTTCATCAACCATTTCTGTCCAGGATTTCTTTATTAATTCATTACCAACCTCAATTTTAGCTTTCACCCTCTCACTTTTTTGATTAAACGTAATATTATTCCAGTCCGAGGTCTTGAATATTTGAATTATTCTTGCGTGTAGCATATTTGTGAGCTTATAAGTTCGCTATTTATATTAATAACAACCTATATTTAAACATTATCGCCAGGTGATAGTTGCTCAATGCACGGCCCTTTGACACGTGTGGATTCCAGAAAATTGTAATGAGATACGCTTGTAAAATAGGTCACGGATTTAAGCTTGCTGTAGGCGGAATTGTAACGCGGTATTACTCGTGTGTCATATGGCAAGCCCCCCCTTCAATTTATCCAGAAGTAGTTTTTCTGAAAAGATAAGTTTCTTTGAAGAGAGGAAGAGATAAGAGAAAAAGTACCGACCTACTCAATTCTCCCATAAAAGTGGAACATTCACTTACAATTCTAGAGCTGTATTATTTGTTAACAAGCTATGATCTCGGCTATGATTAAAGAAAAGTGCAAAAAATATGCACTGATAACATTGTTTTTCAGTCATCTCTATACAAAATCAGACGAAAGTTTTTAAGAATGAAAGGATATGCGACGTTAAAGAAGTTGTTAACTTTGTAATGAAACACTCAATGATATGAAAAGGCTAGAAGCAAATTATTTTGCATAAAATAAAAGTATTCATAAATTTATTTCATAAATGTCAGAAAACACATCAAATGCTAACAGAAAAGGTAACAGAACACTCTCTACTAGCTACTCTATCCCATAACTTCAAGAATTGGGTTCCTCACGCCATTTTTATAATACGCGTTCAAAATTAAACTTGCACTTTGAAGATACTTTTGTACCAATACCTTTTTGCTTTTGATTCAAGTTAATTTTACCGAACAAGGTCTTCGTCCTTAAGTGAATATACATTGTGAAATATTTCCTCCAAACAAAAAGCGATATAAAACAAAACCATCGACCTTTTTTGAAAGATGCACATGGGCTACGTTTAGTAGCACACTGCCCCTAATGCTTGATTGCACCGTCTATCTCAAATAGGTGAAGGTCAACCTTGCACCACATCTATTTGGTGAAATCTTAGCTAATATACAGTTATATATGACAACAGTGCATCTGTAGGAACTTTTCAGGACAATTACGTCTCATAAAAATGCAAACGCTGTGATCAGAGGCGCATGTATTCAGATTGAAAGCAATGTCTTCCCTATACCGTTATTATACAAACTGCTGTAAGCACTATCTGGTACTACTTTTGGATCCTCGCCATTAGTTTAAAACATTCTGAAGTATTCGTAACCTAAAGGCCCCATTTTACTGAAGACTGGCGAAAATCACAATTTGCGTCTTTGGCACAAATTGGATCAATAAGAAGGCATTTAGTAATGGATTTAATCAATTTGGTCGATTTCTTGTAAAATGTCACTCAAACTAGTAATAAACTTTACGATTTGTGCAAAATGGGCTCCTAATTCTCATACTTAATTAGGAAATACTTCATATCTCCAATGATTCAGCTACAGAAAAATTCCACCAATCAAAAAGAACGACTTGTGGCATACTCGAAACATGGATCAGTACATTGACATGACGCCATTACTTGGCCTTTTATTGGAAATAACAGTGTATCACTATTGCTGTACAAAATTCATGGAATACATAAATAAAATTACAGAATACTTATTCATTAACAAACATCGAGTAGGTAATCAATTTACTTGACTACAGTGCGAAAAACAGCCGGAACTGTTACTGTTACAAGTAGATGTCGCGCACTCTACTGGACGGTAGGATGACAGCTCCCTGTGAATAGGGATGACTTGGGGAACTGGGTTTTTCACACGGCAGTGAAGTAAATTGATTATTTACTCGATGTTTGTTAAAGAATTAAATAAATAACTTATATTTGGAGTCAAACATTTTTAAAATACACGATATAAGATTTTGCTCAGTCAAATACTGTATAAATTATAAACACACAAAAACGTCGAATAATGGATGAGCTGAAACAGGATGCAAGATGTAAATATATATGTATTTTTGCGTAAATAATCATATTTGTATTTGTATAAGTTATAGATGATCTGCAAAATGGCAAATTTTAAAAATACACAAGAAAATACTTAAAACACACATAAAAAATTATTTAACACGCCAACATCCTGTTGTCTAATGAATATTTTTAATTTTTCCTCACAGTCACAGTTTTAGTTCTTCGATATCCTTTGTACCCCAAGGAACAGTATTAGTGCCCATTTTATTCAATAGATTTATCAACGATTTGTAAGCAGTGCGTGTGAAGCTATCAGTTTTGTGAATGATATAGCTATTCTATATGAGAGTAATCAGTGGAATCCACTAAAAAACAAAATTCAAAATGATTTCAAAACGTCTATAAATTTCTTTTCGGCAAGAAATATGACAATTAATTTTAAAAAACACACTTGCAATTCATTTTCTTTTGAGGATAGGCTCCCACCTCATTTTAGTAAGCTTGAATTTCATACAAGCAGTGGCCTCAATGAGATTCAGCTGATAAAATAAAGTACTTAGGCGTAACTTTGGACAAACACTTAAGTGAAATGCCCATACAGAATACCTGGTGAAAAGACTGAGATGTATTATTCCAAAATTCAGATACTTCAAAGATATTCTGTACAAAAGATATCTATACAATGTTTTTATGCTCTTATTTACCCTCAACTACCTTACGGGAATTTGGCTTTGGGGCAGTTACAAATAATTGTTATAAAAAGTTTGTCATTCAAAAATTAGTCCTAAGGTTTACTTATCCAAGTGATTCTCTCTATACGGATGCTCAACTATTAGATCGCAGAAAAATTTATTCTTATAGTGGTCTAGCACATTGTATTAAACATTTGAAAAATTTGAAGCATATCATTCATAACTACAGAACAAGATTCAATCAAAATTTAGTGAGTATTCCACAAACATCAAAAACTATTACTCGATGTTCTCTTTTTTTCATGGGACGAAAATTCTATAACTTCAGTCGTTAAAAGCAATAATATCACTTAGATTATTCAAAAAAGAATTCGAGAAATGGATTTTACAATAACCAAAATGCTCCATCCACGAAATTAAAGACATGAAAAATCAATATCAATGTCAATAATATTTTATAATATCTTATACAAATAATACTTTTACTTTATACTTTACTTCGGTTACAATTGTCTGGATATTTTTCCTGACATTTCCGTAATTACTCAACTCACGAAATTATATAATATTTACATTGTTCAGTCATTCATTGTCCTTTTAGTTTTAAGTAACTAGGCAGCAGCGGTGGCCGCAGTAGTAGACTCTTTGGTCTCCTGATCAGTCGCCGTGTGCTGTGCGGGTTCGAATCTCGACCCAGGAGAAATTTTTCTCTTGGCTACGGATGTTGTGATTGTCCGTATGTGGTAGACGGTCTCTGACTGTTGAACGCGGAGGTACCACCCGGCGGATCTCGTAGGCGGAGCCAGAATGTGGGCATGTTGCATGTACACGTGTTCCCTCGCCAGAGTCCGTGTGGAGTTCCTCCTTTCCCCTGTATCCCCCTATAGCCCCACGGTACCAATGGGTGTTTAGGCCTTCGTGGTAGTTGGAGTATAAAAAAAAATAACCCAAGCACAAGTGCTATCTTTTTTGGGTACGTTGTTGTGCACGATACTTTGGATTTACCTGTACTTTGTGGCAATAAACAGCATTATTAATATTATTATATCTAAGCTTCTTAACCCCAAAATGTTCTTGCGAGTTCCATGTAACACGACTTTCGATATGGACCCCTACATACTTCATATTTACATAACCGTTATGGTGTAGGTATATCAGAGCCTATTTTTTTCCAAATAACGTGATCCAATATCTACGGCACTGGCTGGTAGGGTTGAAAACTTTATAGTTGGGCTCTGATACCGGCGGGCCGATATCCATTAGGGGTTATTTGTCGATTGCTAATAATAAATGATTGATGGGCTGCGCCACTTGAGCGGGTTGAGGGTAGCAATCGAGGGTGGCGCTCTCTATGGTGATGATGAGACGTTTTATGTTTTTTTCGGACCGTTGCTGCTCTCCGGCCACAAGTATGTAGGTCACTCGATATCATTAGTGGATCCTTTTGATTATATGGGAGCACGTTAAAACAATTTCCTGCCCCCGTATGCTTTTCTAAGGACGGTGCTACAGGTTGAAAAGGTACTGGAAATCATAAAGCTTTGAAAGCACTGTAAATATGTTACCAAGAAGAATTGATGCTAAAATTACCCAATCAAATTCAGCAGATATTTTATAATGCAATGAGAAGCTTAATAGTTATAGTCCAGCATAATTTTCACCAATTTCTAGAAGCTTGATTAATCTGAAACTTCACACACGTATCAAAGACCTGATAACAGCTTTCCATGATCTTTATTCATAATATTCTGTAAAAAGCAGACTGATATGTTAATAAAAAGCCACGGATTTCATGTGCTGCCTTACGAATAGCGAAACTACAAGCCTCTGTAGCTCTCTGACAAAGCGCTGGTCTTGTAAACCAGGGGTCGAGAGTTCAATCCTCACAGGAGGCGGATTGTGGAATACTTTTTTTGACACGCTTTTTTTATTAACTTGGCCTGTATGTATGTTACGGAATCTTTGAGCATAATTATCACCATTTTCCAGAAGTTTGATTAACCTGAAACTTCGCACACGTATCAAGAACCGATGACAACGCAATAATTTGATAACAGTTTTGCATTCTCCTTATTAGGACCGCCACGATTGGAAATTATAATAAAATTTGAATTATTAACATAATAATTCCATTCAGAGTATAAAGCGTTTACTACATTTTCATAACTCTCCTCTCATAGATAGTTGTCAATAGAGTAATTGTAAATACAGGGTGTAAACGTTATGGTAGTTAGTCACTATAGAAATGGATAATAGGGAGGGGTCAAAACAAGTCAAAAAGTTCATATGACCCATGATCCAGAAGTCAATAGATTTTTGTCTAAATGGCTTTATAGTTTACAACTTCAAGTGCTTTATATCGACCACAACCACCACAATCTTACTAATTTTTATAATCTAATCTAAAACGTTTTTAAATTGGGTAATTAACAAATAAATGGTAATACGTTTTTCTAAGTTAAGCCAAAATTTGTAGTCAGTAAGTAAGACTACTCCTTTGTCCATGAATTATCGAAATTGTGAAATAATCTACCCCAGGACGCTTTTCTCAGCTCTACTAACCTCAGGTAGTTTTAAATAGGATTAACATCAGATTTAAGCTACTTATAGCAGTCGCGGTGCCCCGGTATTTGGACTTCTACACACGTGGTTGCTTTAGTACATATGAAAACTTCGGTTTTTAATGTGGCAACACCTTTGCTTTCTAAAGTGTTTTGTGCCTCACTGTGTTCTACTATAGATTTGAAGTATACAGTATTGTGGCCATGCACTGATATAAAAACACCAAGTTAAATGCTCAAAGATGAGCGAATTTCGTAAAAAATTACAAAATTGCGAACATTCTCCTTTAACAGGATAATTAAGTACTAAAATAAAGAGAAAACTGTTGACATAGCTTTCAAATCCATATTTAAATATGAAAATGCAAATATTTCATAGATGGAAATTACTACGTTTTCATAACTCTCCTCTCATAGATAGTTGTCAATAGAGTAATTGTAAATACAGGGTGTAAACGTTATGGTAGTTAGTCACTATTGAAATGGATAATAGGGAGGGGTCAAAACAAGTCAAAAAGTTCATATGACCCATGATCCAGAAGTCAATAGATTTTTGTCTAAATGGCTTTATAGTTTACAACTTCAAGTGCTTTATATCGACCACAACCACCACAATCTTACTAATTTTTATAATCTAATCTAAAACGTTTTTAAATTGGGTAATTAACAAATAAATGGTAATACGTTTTTCTAAGTTAAGCCAAAATTTGTAGTCAGTAAGTAAGTTTCAATAAATTGAATATTTCAAACACACATGTCAACAGCACGTCGATCATCATCACTTTTATCGAACCATCAATCGATCGCAAACGGTAACAGTGGTTAGTAGGTTGTTCTGTTTTTGTTCGCATACGTCGTCGTGTTGATTTACAATGTTCTCGAATCAAGCGTTCGCCTACATGTTGTTAGTTTACGGTGAAGCTCGTCAGAGTTCTAATCTTGCAGCTCAAATTTATCGCGACAGATTTCGCCAACGGGTACATACACCCAGACAGAAGGACATTTGTGCAAGTGTACCAAAGAGTTCGAGATACAGGAAGTGTTCAGCCCACTAATATTCGCACTCGTAAAAGACAGGTTACTGTAGAGCAGGAGGAACAAATTTTTAATATCGTGAAAATCAATGCAGATATCAGCACTCGGGAATTAGGCCGCCGCGTAGGGCTATCGCATACCATAGTCCATAGAATCCTACGGGAAAATTTGCTTTATCCCTACCATGTACAACGAGTGCAGGCCTTGTTACCAGAAGACTATCCTCGCAGACTAACATTCTGTCAGTGGTTTTTGCACAAAAACAATGAAAATACGGATTTTTTTAAAAACATTCTAGCGACGGACGAATGTACTTTTATGCGAGACGGGATATTAAATTTCCACAATACTCCCACGTGAACCCAAGCCCAAGAAAATCCTCATACTATTCGCGAAGGTCATTCCCAACAACGTTTTAAAATAAATATTTGAGCGGGGATTCTTGACGATCAGGTAATTGGCCCTTTCGAGTTACCCCAAAAGTAGTCAGGAGAAGGATACCTTACCTTTCTAGCCAATAACCTACCAGAACTTTTGGGACAGACCATAGACAACATGTCATTACAACGGAGACAGAATTTGTGGTTTCTTCATGACGAGGCACCACCACACATTTTTAGAGGCGTCATTCAGTATTTGAATGAACATTGTCCAGCTCCCGATCCTCGAAAATGGCCAGCGAGATCTCCTGACCTCAATCCGATGGATTTCTGGTATTGGGGAGAACTTAACAATAACAACTGAAGCTACAACTTGGCGAAAAAAACTATAATGCGGCTGAAATAATAAATGGACAACTTCGAGGACCTAGATTAAGAAAAAACTGGGTTCGTCGTAATGAAGCTTGTGTGGAAAGTGGAGGACGACATTTTGAACACCTTCTTTAAATACAAAAAAGAGCAGTGTGGGTTTTAAAAAGAAAAACAAAGTATGTATCAAAATTGGGTTCCCTATTTATAAGTGGATTTTTTTAATACGTTCAATAATCTTTCACACACCAGGTGAAGCGCTGAGACAGTTAGTGGTAAGTCCGTTTTTTTAATTGTTTGCATTTTACGAGTACATTATCAAATAATGAAATAATACTTAACAGCCAAAAATAACAAACTCCATCTTTATTTGCATTGCGTTCCGTCGTAATTTGCGTCTGACATTGCGCCGTTTTCTTTTTCTTTAAACTCGGTTTGCTCTAAAAAAATGCCGTTTTGACCCCCATGTTATATGAAACTTTTTGCTTCGTTCAACCCCCTCTATCAACCATTTAAATAATGACTGTCATAACGTTTACACCCTGTATATCAAGCACCACACGCTTTTTACTCTGAATTGAATTATTCTGTTAATAACTTAAATTTGATTATAATTTTAATTTGAGGTCATTAATTATGATTGATTGTTCGATCATCTCCTACTGTTATATAAACTCTTTGTAATTTAAAATTATTTTCTACTTTTTAGTTCGGTTAGCTATAAAAGAGTGTTTTCTTTTAGTTTTCTTAAACTATTATTTATTATATATACTTTGTAAATCATCACTGCAAAGTAATATTCAACACTGCCAAGCAACAACCGCCAGCCAGACACTTCAATTTACCCCACTTTAACTTTTTGTATAAAAGTTCAGAAAAACATATTTAAAACAAATGTTGAGTCCAATGTGTAACATCTTTCATGCATTGTCTTTTTCTTATATAAGGTGTGAGTGCTATCGACTGTCCCGTTTGAAAAATACAACCTAATTCGATGAGACTTTTCTGATGATACAAAAAAGAATCTAGCATTAAACAAAGTTTACATTAAACCAGATATTTATTTTCTAAGCCATCTTGAGCAAGTTAGAGAGATGTCAATTTTCAGCAACTAAGAAGCTATGACCAGTAGAAAATGTGTGATAGAACATTAATTTGTAACAATGCTTTATGAGCATAGGTACCAGACTTCAGTTTCATATTGTTTTGATATGCCAAAATTTAAGTTTTTTTTACTATACGCATATATTGCACAGCCCAACAAAATGTAAAAGTAAAAGCTGATTTTAAATATTTTATCACTTATAAACGATTTATTATTTCGAAAAATAGCGTCAAGTAGGATGGCTTTGAACTTTCCACGCAACGCCATCATCAGTTCATAAAGGATTATGTTCAGCATAACTTAAACAGTATCGAAATAAGTTATCGTCGCACCCTAGACAGGGCATAGTTGTTGTACTTTCGTTAGTTGTCCTAGAGACCAAGCCTAGACCATACTGAGAAAAAAGTGTATAACAGAGGAATTAAACGGATCAAGTAAGTCAAACGGGGCCTATACAATTATTCCATAGATTATCTTTTTCTGCCCTACCCATAGTATCATCCACACATCAACGCCGCCTCTTCCCAATGCCTGATTGCAAGACACCTCACTGCCCGGTGAAGCCAGATGGCAGACGCAACTAAGTTTTAAAGGCATATAATTACCAGGGTTGGGAGTGTATTAATACAATAACATTGAAAAATTGCCCTACCCTCTTCCCCAACCTCCAATTTTTGACTCCTAAATATTTTTTCACAATTAAGGAAAATCTGAACAAAATTTGAGCGATTTTTATTTTATCCATTTTTTGCATTTTTTCCGCCAACTATCTGCCTATTTTCAAAGATTAAAAGCCATTTCGTCCTTGGCATAGTAGTAACGTTGTGTGAAAGTTTCATCCAAATATGAGCAGTACTTTCCAAATTATAGACAAGCCAAGCTGAAGTAATAAAAAAGTGAAATTAACATTACATGGTTCCAAACATTACGTATTCATAAATAAGCATTTGAACATAAGG